AAACTCCGCAAGATGCTAACTTTGACCCTGGCTCTGACTGGCATTCCACTTTCAAGCGCGCACACAAATAGAAATGTTCAAATGTTGAAATGTTGCAAACATTTCTCTGAATAAGAACAAGACTTTTCAACACCTCCAGCTCGCACCTGCACCTGCCCCTTCGCTTGCGCTCCACAAACAACATTTTGCGCTGCGTTCAGGTTAAATGCGCGCGAATTGTTTTTGGCCAGCAAAAACTTTGCCATTTAACTTTTGTGTAACTAACTCGAGAAGACTGCCAAATATTTAAAGGCAAATAAAATTGCAGTGCTCTGTAGACGAAATGTGACTAAAATGGGTATATTAGTTGTTGTATTAGTGGAACGTAATATATATTGTTGTAAAGTACTTTAGGTTCTAGGATTAAAAGTTGGTAAATTCTAGAAGAAGGGCAAAACTATGGTTATATGGTTATCTAATACGGTTTTAGAGGTACGATAGATAGTTTGAAAAGCATTGCCGTATCTACGACCTCTCTGGGAGAGCTCCTGATGATAACAGTTTGAGTTTGAAATATTACCTTAGCTTCACAGTTTTGCCTTCACAGCAGGAAATAGTCTAGCCCAGACTTTTTTTTTAGTTCCAGTTAAACTACAGGGTATGGCAACAGTCGTTTATATACATACCAATAGTTTTCTGATGCTTATTGTACCTTTCTCTCTCTATCTCTACTCTCCCTCTCCCTATCTCCTGCTCCCCCTCTCCCACTTGTATTTCAATACTTTTTTTGCTGATACAGCCACCTTTAAAGTTGAGCATTCAGCATTAATGAGAGCAAACGTGTAGAGCTGTTGCATTTCTAGGAAAGGACATGGACAGCACGTGGGCCTGGACCTATGTAGACTTGGGCCTGGTGCTACCTGTCGCCTTTTGTCGCCTGTCAACTGGTTTGCTATCCCTAAACGCAACTAACGAGCACATTTTTGCCAGCTTAGACCAGCTGCCTTTCTCTCTCACTCTGCCACTCCCTTCCTCTCTCGCTCTCTCTGTATTTCTCTCAGAGCTGCTCGGAAATTAGCAACATTTTATGCTAACCTTTTTATGCAAATTACCAATACCTCGCCCGCTCTACCTCACCCTCTCTCTCTCTCTCTCTCTCTCTCTCTCCCTCCCTCCTTCTCCCTTGCTCTCGCTCTGTTGGCCTGCGACACATTTGCGGTAAGCTGTGAGCAAACACTTGAATGCTCTGGCATAAGCAGAACCTGGTCCACAACTCTGCAACTTGCTTTCAGGCTGAGAAAAAGCATGTGGCATGCGGCATGTGGCATACGGTTTGCATGTCATGTGGGCTAGCAACACTTTGTCTTCTTTCTAATCAGTCTATTTGCTTAGGAGCTCCATACAAATGAGCCTCTTTTTCGCATGGGTCAAACATTTAATTAAGGAGCGCACAAAAGCTTCTTTTTTACAAAATTTATTTTCTATGAAAAGCGCAAAAGCTCTGTCGTTGCTCTATAAAGAGAACTTAACCCTTAATTTAACCCTACTTCAAATACATTCCATTATAAACGGTTTCCCGTTGCAAAATGTCTGAAACAATTTATTTACTTTTCATTGTTTTTGTTTTCCTATTTCAGTTGTATACATGCATATTTTTGTGTGTCTATATGTATGTGTGTGTGCGTGTATATCTGCCCTTATACCTATCTCTCTTTCTCTCTCTCTCTCTCTCTGTTTTAATCTTTCGCTTAGTTTGCTTCTATCACATTTCATTCATTTCATACGAATTTGATTTGCACACAAATAAATTTTCATTTTAAAGGATTTTTATTATGGTTTATTTGGCGTTTTGGCAGTTCTATGAAGGGGAGTTACGGCTCTATGGCAATACCCTGTAGTGGTAAGTCATTGAGGCGTATGATGATATGAGATGTGTTTATTTTCCTATGATTAGCATATGCATGAAGTGAACTTCAAAGAACAACAACAATCACTTGGAAAGTTAAACGTGTGGCTGAAAGATACCCTGTAATTTGCAAAGATGCCTATTCGGATGTCTTCCTGAATTGTAACTCCGAGAAACTCCCAGTTAGATCATCTGCCAGTCGGCACTCCCCGCTAAAGCACTCCCACTTGTTTTTTCTTCAGCCTTTGGGTAAATATAGAAATTTGCATGGAGCCAAATACCAAAAGCGAGCTGCCAGCAAACTTTTGCCCAGCAACAGCAGCTCGGCTGACCAACAATTTATTACAATTACGTCAAAATTCATTTGAAAACGCGGCCTGCAACTGTAGAGAGTAAGAGAGAGAGAGAGAGAGAGAGAGAGAGAGAGAGAGAGAGAGAGAGAGGGAGAGCGGGAATGCTGGGAAGAGTAGGTTAGGGGGCGTGGCAGCTGGTCATAAATTGGTAGCTGCAATGCGGCTGATAAAGCRTGAGTCCAGCCTCGGAAAAAGCATGAAAAACAGAATTAGAGATACGAAATGCAGCTGTAGACGGGACAGGGAAAAACTTACACAATTGAAGAGCCCACAGATTGCTGGTCAGGCTGGAAGAGGCAGTGAGGCAGCTGGGGCATGCTTTGTGGGTCAAATGCAAATGGGTCAGAGAAGGCCTTTGGAAAAGAGAGCGGGACGGAAGCAACAGCAAAAATAGCGTAAATCAAAGTGAAAGTTTAGCAACGGAAAGTGAAAATAATTTAAATAAATGAATTAGTGGGAAAGAGCGAGAGAAAGAAAGCGAAAGAGCGAGGGCAAGAAAGATAGAGAGAGAGAAATGAATATATGAATATTCAGTATAATAGAGAGGCAGTAGATAGAGGTAGGTAGATAGAGAAAGATAGATACGAAGAGAGATAAAAAATAGAATAGAGTGAGAAAGAGGACGAGATAAAAGAGAAGAAGGACGAGTGAATCAAGTAAGAAGAGGTAAAGATTGAAAGTAAAGTTGACAGACAGCAAGAAAGAGTAAACGATGACAAATTTGACGGAGGAGGGGAGAAAGTTATATATAGAGAATAAAGAGGAGACCATATACATATATAAATTTGATAGAATAAGAGAGAGAGAGAGAGAGAGAGAGAGAGGGGCAATGGATATTAATATCTCCATATATAAGCAGACATACAGAAAAAGAGATATGTAGAGTGAGTGAAAGAGAGAGGAGGGAGGGAGAGAGGGACAGAGTTGAAGTGTCGTAATAAACACTTGCAAATTGACGTGTTTATGCGACGCGCTCTCAAAGACGTGCCTAAGCCAATTCGATTATTTAGTGATTTTGCTGTGAAAGCCAGCTTTGCTAAATAGGAAATAGAGAATTGGATAGGAAGGGGTGCGTCCAGCGTCCAGCTGGCTTATATACATGCCATACACACCCAAACACACACAAGCTGGCGCATAATAAAACAAGATTTATTTAGTTGCCCGGCATTAACTGTTGCCCTTTATAAGCAGCTCAGCTGTATCGCATCTGCGGATGAGTGTGTCCATGTGTCCATGTGTGTGTGTTTGTTTGTCCAAGTGTGTGTGAACTCTAGCCCCAAAGCAAGGCGAGAGACCAGTCGCGTCTACACACACACACGCATAAAAACGGAGAATGAGTTTTCTTTTCATTAAAAGCGGATTTACGCAGTGTAAAGAAGCAAAAGCGAGAGAGAGACAGGGAGAGAGTGAGGGCTGTGGGGAATGAGAGATTGTAGCTGTGGCAGCTTATTGTACAATAAACACGCACGCACACACACACACATACACACACTTATAGAGAAATCTGCTGCGCTGAGTCAGCTTGTAGAAATTTTCCTTTGCTTTTTCCGTTGCTTTTCTTTTCTTCATTCTCATCTTTTTTCTTGTGCTGTTCTTCCCACTTTTTGCACAACCAAACTTTGCCTTTCATCGCCACTAACGAGTGTCACACACATGTGTGTGGCTGGGTGTGTGGCTGTGTGTGTGAGTGAGTGTGTGTGTGCCGGTTCGAGACAACTGGTCAATGTTGTCACAGGCAGGGAATGTCAACAAAAGATAAGCCATTCATTTTATTCATTCATTGCTGTCTATCCCTGTCTGCCCACTCGCACTCCCTCTCTTTCACTCTCTCTCTCTACTTTTGTCTCCTTCTGGTTACATGCTAGCCAGTTAACTATTCCGTAATTTAAGTCCGGTTTGCTGTCACTTGAGACGAAAATAATCGACTTTATCGCGCTGATGCCTTGAACTGTCCCTTCGCTACACACAAACACACACACACTCACACATATAGACTCTCCCTCTCTCTCTCTCGCTCTCTCTATCTCGGTCGTTCTCTTTGCTGTCGGCCCAAATCAAACAAAAATGGCTATCAAAGCGCGTCTCAAATTTCATTGGCAACAACACGAGACCAAATTTTTGTCGTCCTTTAAGAACAGCCAAGAAAATCCCGCATTCAATTTACGAGTGGGTTTGTGTGCGTGTGTGTTGGCTAAGTAGTTAATGCTTAAGCACGTGTGTGTGGGTGACAGCCAACAGCAAATAAATGAAAATACCTAGCGCTCTGCTAATTAGACCACAAACTTGTTGTTCAGCTTGTTATACCACGCACTTAATGGCATAATTGAGGCATATTGGTTTGGTCTGAAAGGTTTATGTCATTCAATATGCTTTGATTATGCCTTCTATAATTTCTTGTAATTGATCGAAATATGAATATAATTGGAGTGTGTGCGCCATAGAAGGGACCATTAGCTTATGCCAGTCTTTCGATATCACGAATCCTTTGATAATTGGTATTCAAGGCATAATGAATGACTTGGTGACCGGCAAAAGAGGGCGTGGCGTAGCCCATAGTGTAAGTATAGGTGTATGTATATGTATATGTATATATTAGATCGGTGTGAACAGCCAAGTCTTTCTGTCTATATCAACGCTTCGAATATAGTAGGAGGGAGAAGGATGAGGAGCTGAAGAAGTGAACTTATAGCATGCGCAATCAAGCTTTTTTTTTTTTTTTTTTTTGTATATATATTTATTTTAAGCGCTGAATCTGTACAATGCAAGTTTAGTACCTTAACAACACAATTAGCTTATTTATATAGAACCTAACCTTCTGATGTATTCAGGAGGACTTACAAATATATATTTACAAATATCCCTAAACTAAACTTATCTAATATTCGCAATCAAGTTTGCTTCAATTATTCGATACTATTACCGTTTCTTCTAGTCGTACATTCTCAACCACAGTTTTCTTATTCTATTAGTTCTATCTCTAAAGAAAATCCTCATTAATTATTTATTGATTCAACCTCAATCAATCATTGATTCAGATTTCTTAATAATATGCTAGCGTAATACTTACTTAGACATATTCCCTTGACTCAATGAGTTGGGTGCATTCAAGGTAGAGTATTGTCCACTCGTTCACTGCCTATACACACACTTTTTTAAATTGAAGTTTAAAGTTTTTGCTGCTACTCAAGATGAAATTGGAAAGCCAAGAAGCTATTGCTATCAGTTCTTATGTTACACATCGTTGTACAGCTGCTGCTGCTGCTGCCACACAAACACTGAATACTCGTGTCCTTATGCTCCTGTCCCATTGTGTGAGCTGCTCCCCTGCTGTTTTTGTTGTTGGTGCTGTTCTGCCAATGGCAATGGCGGCAAATGCATTTTTCAACAGTTACTGACCGACGGCTAACAAAAACCCGACTACAAACCAAGACACGCCACGCCTGCGGCAAACAGAGCAAAGATATCGCTCACGCTCTCACTAAATCTATACATGCACATACAGATAATATATGGTCGAATGTTTTCACGTGTGTGTCTCTGTGTGTGTGCGTGTGCTCCTTTCCCCTCTGTCGAGTCTCTGGCTTTCAGACACTTTGAAGTGCTATTTGAGTTGGGTATAAATGTAATTTACAAGCTACAAGCGCTGCGACGCTTCATGAATTTTAAACAGCTGCCACACACACATACACACACACACGTCCTAAAAAGTGGGCGTGGCCATTGTGCATTATTTTGTGTGATAAATGCAACACTTAATTGTAATTGTGTTAGCTGCCAAAGCTGCCGCTGAGAACTTTTCGGCCAGGAGTGGATCTTGGGCTGCTGCTGCTGCTCATTTGTTTATTTATGGCTTTGGCAACTGCGACAATCTGCGCCAATCAATTGCCAACCTTATTGTTGTGTGTGTGTGTGTGTGTGTGTGTGTGTGTGTGTGTGTGTGTGTGTGTGTGTATGTGAAGGTTCCTTTGATGTGCAACTGGCTGCTGCATGCCACAAGCTGTATTTACAGTGCAATGCCCTGCCCTGCTAAAGCCTGCCACAGGACTCTGTGGCCAAATGTCCTGCACAACGGTTTCGTTAAGTTCTCCTTGCGGATGATCTGTAGAAAAGTGTTGGAGAGAACAAGTGGGGTATGCTCGAGAGAAAGGGGTAAGAAATATAGATGTACAACTGTGGCTCTCTCTCTCTCTTTCCCTCTATCTCCCTCTGTGTATATAGTTCACATAAAAAATAAGTTAACATTTCATAAAGTCACATTTGCTCTGTTAATGAAACAAATATTTATAAATGATGCAGCAAATACACTTTAAATATTTATAAATATTGCTAAGCTTACAGGATATCTACCAGCTGTGCACTCACTCGCCTCCACTCTCTACAGCCTTTCCAATTTTTTTTTTCGTCGTCTCGCTTTGCCCGCATTTTTCGCGTTTATTTATTGGACATGTTTTTATTGAATTCTTTGTGTGGCTGTGCCGACAGATGTGATATAAATATTTATGCGCCGGACGCAGAATATTGCCCGGGTCGAGACCTTTTGCTAGCCACCCACACACACTATACACACACACATACACAGCCTCTCCGTCCCCTTTGAGCTTAACTTATTTTAAATTGATTTCTCTTCCGTTCATTGTGCTGCGCGTGTGGCAACCATTTGGCTGTATCGAGCTTGCATTGAGCATTTATCTATCGTATATGCCCGAGGGACTCTTTTACACACACACATATACTTGAAGATCCACACGGACAGGCATAACAATGCTTACGCTTTGCGGCTGTTCCGCACTTAAATAATAATCAATTTTTCTTAAATTATTAAGTGAAATTCCAACTCAAATCGCAGCTAATTGTGGGTGTGTAGACAGTGGGGGAGCGGGGGAGTAGGGTGGACCAAGTTCTTATGGGACAGCCAAGAGCTTATAACTTACAGCTTACAAAAGTTTTCTCATTTCTTTTGGGGCTTTGTCTCATTGTTATTTCTACTTTATTTTGTGTTATCTGCTTATTATTGAGATGATGGGAAATCGAGGAAAATGCTGTTAAGTAACGTCAAAGTCTGTATGTCTGTGTGTATGTATGAGTGTGCGTGCAACATATGGTATTTGTCTGTGGCATAAATCAATTTTCGGGCTGCATGAATAAATTATGTACCTGCATAATTTTAATTGCAAAAATAGTTGTGTAAAAAGTGATTTTCGCCTGGCAGCAATAAATGTGAATTGCAAATGAAGATCCAACGAATAGTTAGTTGGCTTTTGTTATTAAAAATTTAATTTTCATTTTTAAAGTTCTGTCGAAATTGAAGCTGAGTGCTCATTTAAGTGTGCAGCCCCGAAGTATGCAGTAAATCAAATGCTGCGTTGTCTAATTAAACGGCGCTCGGTGCTTAGTGCGGACAATAACCATTTCTCTTGTTATGCGCGGCAAGCAGCTCCATTCAAATGGTTGCATTGCACCTTGGCATGCAGCACATTAAATAGATGGCGCAGTCTGAAGCGAAAATTGTGTTGATTTAATGATTTAAAAGTGCAGTTCACGAAGAAATTTTTATACATATGTGTGAGCAGTTAGGTTGAGACAACAACATCAATGGGACTTAAGCTGAACAGCTTCAATAAGCTTTGACAACAACCAATCAAGATCATTTATAGCATCCGTTTAGCTACGACAACAACTGAGAGCTGGTTGATGTTGAACCGATTCACTAAGCTGTGGCAACAACCTGCCAACATCCTTTATAGCATCCGTTTAGCTATGCCAACAACCATGAGATGGCCGCTTTTTTAACCGATTCAGTAAGCTGTGGCAACAACCACGCCGAGATCATTTATAGCATCCGTTTAGCTATGACAACAACCAAGAGTGGGCCGATTTGAGCCGCTTCCCTAAGCTGTGACAACAACCATGCCGAAATCGATTTTCTTAAATTATGAACTGAACAACTGAACTCATGATCACGTTTAGCAAAGTTTACAACCACAGCGAGTGGTTTAGTTATCAGTTTTCATCTTGCGCTCGAAAGTATGCCGCGAAACACAAACACAAGAGGCGCTGTTAAACGCCCACTGTTAACGCGCTTAGCAGCGCCTCGATTTAAAAACTTTTTCTGCTGCCACAAAGCGAATGAAAAAAACGAAATAAAAAATATTTATGCAAATGTAATTCGCAATTACAGCTATACACACACACACAAATAGAGAGAAAGAGGGAGAGAGAGAGCGCGCGACACAACAAAAACATAAATTGTTGTGTTATTTATAACTAAAATGCTGCCAGATCAACTTTTAATGAGTTCCATTTTTTTTTTGTTCGTTTCAAGAGAAACAAAAATTTAATTTGCACTCGGGCGCATTTTGTGTATTTAATAGCATTTACTGTTGCTGCTGCTGCTGTTGCTGCTCCAGCTGCTGCTGTCAATGTCCTGGCCACGCCTTGTGTGACCCTTCAACCACGCCCCTCTGCCTGCCGCCTCGCCCCCGCCTTTCGTGAAACTTTGTGCGCTGTGAGTGCGGTTTGAAAATTATTTTGTAATATTACAAGCGATGCGCTCAGCTGGAAATTGTTCAACATACAACATTCCATAACTCACACACACACACACCCTCTTAGTATCTATGTGTGTGGGCGGCTACTTTATGCCATTAGCCACAACGGCGGTTGCGAAAGTTGAAGCTGGGGGCAAAGCCTTCACGCAGGTAATAATCGGATGTAACTAATTGAATAAAGCGACGCACAGGACAACACGAACACAGAGACACACACACACACACACACACACACACACAGACACAGGCGTGCACATGCACTCGACTCGCTGCGCATTAGCCAAATCCGCCAAGTGGCAGCGACGCAGTTGTTGTTGCCTGCCCCCAGGGGGCAACATTTGGGGCATTGTAACTAAGAGCGCGACCGCTGCTCGCATATCCCTTGGGATAATTTTGTATCCTGCTGCAGCAGGATATGGCTTAATGGTCGCAGCTATTTAAATTTTCATAATCATTTTAATGCCTCGCCCATAACAGAGCCAGAGCTCAATTTAAAGGCGTGCGCTTCTCGTGCAATTGAGCGCACAGACTCTTCTATGCGAATCTCATGCAACTCATTGATTGAAGTTACTGGCATGCGCTCTAGTATACGTTATATATATGTACATGAATTTATATCTTTGGTAAGCTTAGAACTGAGCTCAACTTATTGAGCCCATGGGCTCTTCTATGCACTTCTCATTCAATGCTATGATCAATAATAATGCGAACTCTTCTATGCAATTCTCATTAATATCAATGCTCACTAACTCTTTAAGGCGCTTCTCATTTAATTCATTGGCCCAACTTAGGGCTATGCTCTTTTCATTGATGTCTTAAAGTTTAGCTTTTCCATGCGCTTCTCATTCAATTCAGAAAAGAAAACTCTTCCGATATCTCTCGACGGCTTCTTTATGGTCGTTCCTGTTGCCAGGATGAGCACGAGGCCCATATTTAATAACAAACGGATACTCAACAGGTTACGGAATTGGAACCGTATTCCCTTTCGTTCAAAATTATTCAAGTGTATAAAAATCGATAATTAGGCACATTTTTGTTTATTTATTTTGATTTTTCTTTACTTGAGGACCGACTAACTCGTGATCAACCACTGTTCACAGTCCTCCAAGGTCTCATTCGATTATTTGCTACTACCACCAAGATCTGTACCAATAGCGGCTCCATGCAGGCTTACGCCAAACACTTCTATGCACACTATTGTACCTTCCTACTCACTAAAGTTTCAAAATTTATATTACAAGTAATATAAATCATCTACTTTAGCGGTAATGTATAGGTATACAACTTAAGCGCCATCCATTTTAAGGGCTAGTTGCTTCGGYAGGTGAGTTGTTACACMCTCCTTAGCGGATTTCGACTTCCATGATCACCGTCCTATGCTCTTTTCATTGATGTCTTAAAGTTTAGCTTTTCCATGCGCTTCTCATTCAATTCACTTCCTCGTTTATTTTCATTAGGCGACCGTTTTTTTTCTCTATTTTTTCTTGCCCTAATCCTGCTGGCTTTTAGCAAATCACGTAGTTCAAACCAATACAATAAAAAAAGACACAAGCAAACAGTCAGCGAGGTTCCGGTTTCATCTTACCTGTCTCCAAGTCCCATCTCTAAACTCAAAGTGTCGTCTAATTGCAATTGTTACACACTCTATCTCTCTCTCTTTCTCTCTCTCTCTTTCTCTCTCTCTCTCTCTGTGTGCGTCTTTTAGGGTATTTGGGATGATTAATGGGTCTAGGGCAGCGCGCTACAATTGTTATTTATTTGCCATATCATATAGATGAGAGTCGTGGCTGTAAAAGCCGCTGTTAATGCCCTCATTGATTGATTTGTTGTTTGACATTTGTTGGTTAATTGTTAACTTGAATGATTGGCCAAGATTTTCCGGCACAGCATTAAGGCGATTGCCATGGTGACTAGACGAACAGGAAGTTTTAGTGTAACAAATACTCAATTTAATTGGCACGTAGTGAGGGGTAGAGAGAGTGAATAGTAAAGAGCGTAATTAGAGCGAGGAAAATCTAGTCCTTAACTAGCAGTTACTAAATATAAAAACAGCTCATTAAAAGCTCTTGCTTAGCTAATAACAAGCTGGTTTTTAGGCAAGGCTTTTACTTAAAATGTGGGACAGATTTAAATTTAAGTGTAAAGCTCATTACGAAAGTTCGCTGAAACTGAAGTTGATTGAAAGCTCCATTAATGTGCTTTAAGCTTAAGCTCTAACTGCAGCTGGTGTCATTGCAGCACAAGCTGCACAGCTCATCTGCTATAACCTATTCAAAAGCTCATTAAAAGCTATTTCGAGCTTCATTAATCTCCCATTTCAGCCTTGACTTTCAGCTGCTGTCACTGCATAGGCATAAGCATACGCAGCGCAGCGTAGCTTAGCTCAGCTCAGCTGGGCTTTTGGCCTTAAGCCTATTTAAATGTTAATGTGGTCGGCCCTAAAATCAAATCAAGTTCAACTAAGTAGAACATCCGAAGGCTGTCCAGGCGCCATGGTTCGACTTAATGCAGCAGCTTTACGGCTCAATAGGCCGTCTAATTATCTACGTTGGACATGGATGAAAGCTTAAATAGCAACAGCAGCAGCGGCATCAGTTGCCTATCTGTCGGAGATGCTATAGATACACATTGAAGATGAACTGGCAAAAATGAGTAAACGAATTTAACGCTTGATTTGTCAGCTGAATTGTGAGCTCTATCTCTCTACCCCTCTCTCGCTCACTCTCTTTCTCTCTGGCTGCTTGCATATGCCCTTTGAACTACAGCCAATTTGTAAAATATTTTTAAAAAATATTTATAAATATATTTTTATATATGTATTTTCATATKGGATATATATTTACATTTTATTATTGATAAATTTATTTTCATAAATTTCTCGCCTTTTGACACATTTTTTAATATGCATGAAATGTGGGCAGAAAGCTGCGGCAATAAAAGCGAAAAAAGATACAAAAAAACTGTCAACTGCCAGCATTTCGAGCTGTCGCTGCCCCATGTTGCACGTTGCACGTTGAGCGTTGCGCGTTGCAGCGCTTATCGCGGACAACACATTGTTGTTGTCACTTTTCAGTTTGACAATTTTTTAATGAAGTTTCATTTTTGCTACCCAAAGTGTCAAATTAAAATAATCAGAACATGACAGCTACCGGCAGGCGGTGCCACGCCCACCAAAAATAACACAGCCACAAATTGTAAGAAGTGGCCGAAGTCCGTTGAGAGAGAGAGAGAGAGGCAAATTGTATTTAAGAAGTTGGTTTCATTAGTGCGAATTTTCGGCGCATTTCTTTGCAACTTATTTTTCATGCGCTTCATTTAAGCGACAAATCCGATTAGGCCCGGCTCGACTTGCCGGCATCGGCATACCCCTCAGCCCAAGGTCCGTTGGCTTAGGGTAGCTTTGCCGGCCTAAAAAAAAAAAAAAAAAAAACGAAACAAAAAGCCAAATAAATTGAAAATGAAATCAAATGTGAACCGCGACATGAACATTAGGCGGCCAGCGACTAAGCATTCAATGTCAACCCAAACAAAGCCGAGCTGGAAGAGAAGCGCTGCAGAAAACTTGTTCTCAGGCAGCGAGCAGCAGAGAGAAGCGAGCGAGAAGCCAAATGAAATATTGGCAAATAGACAGCAGCAGCGCATCTCAATGTGTTTACCCTACTCAAGCGAAAGAAAAAGGTTTACTTCAAAACTCCCACACCTTGCCCCGGCTGTTTGCCGCACTCTCTGTCTCCCTCTGTCTCTCTTTCTCTCAATCTCTTAGCGGAAATTTGAGATTTATGAATTCCCGGAATGATTTTCGCAAACATTTCACAAATTATATTCGTCTATATGCATTTTTTGTGAGAGGCAGTTTACAAATTAGCAGCGATTTCATTTGAGTTTGGGAGTTGCTTGCTAGTTAGAGAGTGGGAAAGAGAGAGAGAGAGAGAGAGAGATAGTGAAAGAGAGAAAGAGAGGGAGAGAGAGAGGGGAGTAAAGGCTTAGAGTGAAATATAAGAGTAAAGTCAATTAATATTAAATTTTAGCTTTATTATTTTTTTCATTTCATTTATTACAAATGATTACAATAAATTTAAATAATAAAATAGAATTTAATTAATTGTTAAATTTATGATGAGTAACTTTTCAAAGTTTATTTTCCTTTAATGAATTTCTATAATTTCGATTCGTTTTTATATATTTTTAACTGCATTTTAATTGAGTTAACTTGAGTGAAGCTTATAGGTTTTCTCTGACTTTGCTTTTTTTTATGAACTTTACAAAACTTTATACCTATTGTAATAGAAAATTTTTTATATGTTAGCTGTATTCGTATTATTTGTAAAGTGTTGCTTTAATTAACTTCCCTCAATTTTATATATGTTCCTATATATAGAGGACTCTAGTCAGAATTCTTTAACCATATACTAAGTAGTAAATAGTAGATGTACGAAATTGTATAGAAAACTTCTACAAGTATATAAAAAGTATAGTATAAATATCTAACATAAAACTGCAGCTGCTAGAAGTATATAGTATATACTATACTATATCTATATCTGATATACATATCTCTAGCTACAAGTTACAAGATCTCGTTTTTGAAGCATTTGCCAATCTTAAATTCTCGCACAAGTATCGCGTTTTGTGTTTAACTTTTGTTGCGGTTGCCGTTGCCGTTGCTGTTGCCGTTGCAGTTTGTGGCATGGCTAGCCGCAAGCAACATGAACCCACAACCCCTGCAGCTGCTAGCCATGCCGCAGCATTGTGGCACAGCATTGCTTAAGCACCACCCAAAAGGCCACCTTTTGCAGCTTTTTAACTATGGCTATGAAAGTCGAAGATAAACAAATGTTGCATGCATCATGTTTGGTTATTTAATACAGCGCATTGGCTGCAGCTGGGCAAACACCTGGCAACCGGCAACCGGCAACCGGCGAGCGGCAACTGGCGTTAGTTGGGTGGTGAAGGCGGTGCCACAATGTGGCAACTGTTGCAGCAACTCTCCACCGCCACCGCCACCAATTCGAATGGCCCTACAAATTGCTTCCTCATTGGCCACCAATTAAAAGTAATGAAAAGTTGTGCGGGCCATGCAAAAAGTTGGCTTTGTCTCCTCCTGCCACCTGCCAGTTGCCAGTTGCCACTCACATGTGCAGCAGTTGCTGGTGTTCTGCCAATGTTGGATTTGTCGGATGTGGTGCTGCATTCAAGTCCAACAACGGTAATTATGCAAATTGCAAATGGAGCGAAAGCAACTGCAGCAACAGCAACAGCAGCAGCAGCAGCAACATCAGACGTTGCATCAACTTGGTTAAGGCACTGCCCTAACAGCTCCAGCACCATCTCCAACTCCAGCTCCACCTCCAGCCATGCTCTGCTCCATTTCCATGGCAGAATCGTAGGCAACCGCAAGTGTTGCCAGTAGGAAATCAAATTAGCGCGCCACGTCGCACAGCCAGCAGAGCAACAATGGCCAGCCAGCAAGCCAGACGCAGACCGGACTGGACTGGACACTGAGAGGCGACTCTAGCCGCTGCACAGTTTGCATGCTACTCGTTCATGCCACACGCATGCTACGTACTGCTCTGGCCCCGTACTTGATTATGAGTTGTAAACTGGCCGAAGAACCAAACGAGAAAGCGACTAAGAAGCAAGTAAATTGTGCTCTAGTTGAGCGAGTATGGACTACTAGATATCCTGTAATCGATGAAAGTCAATATATTAAAATTCAAATTTAGCTTAAAATAAACTATTTCTTATATGTATATATCCCTTTATGCTATTCTGACGTATACTAACTATCGATAATTATCGATGCTCACCTGTTATCTATCCAACACGCGATAAAATATGAAATTAATAAACAACTTTATGGTTCTAACTGTAATAGCTGTAAAAAAATACTAATAAAATCAATAAACGCAATCGATAGCTATCGATACTGAGCAGTTATCGATTAAGTGCATACACTAGTATGATATCAATAGTAAACAGTTAAAATCTTAATTATATAGCAATCAGATAGCTAGACTAATAAACGATATTTATCTATGCTAACCAGTTATCGATATATTATTTTACCATGTTCACGTAAATACATATTACTGCCTATATTCCTTTTTATTCAATTGCTCGGCTCGCTGGGTGTTTCAAACCGAACTTGAATAAGTTACTGCTGTTTGCCACAAATCGATTGGCATTCTAGAAAGGGGCTCAAGTACATGGTGAGAGCGAGGGGTGGGAAGCGGGGAGATAGTGGTGTCAAGAAGTGGGTTAGGTGAGAAAGGGGGCTGCTACTGCAACGTGTGACTAATTGACATTGACGACTTTTTGCCATTTGGACCGGGCTGAGCCACAATTCGCATTTGGCCATTCGCATTCCCCAACATCTGTGGGCCATAAACTTGAACT